AATCGAAGGAACTCGACGAGTCACCCCGATGACTCGGCGAGTGGAATGTGCTTCGAGGAACTCGGCGAGTAGCCAAGGGTACTCGGCGAGTTGGGGGTCAACATGGACTGTTGACCTTGACTGAGGACTTTGACCTTGACCAGGGGTTAACTGGTGGGTTATGGAGTACCTTATAGATTTAAGGACTTATGAGTATATTGTACTATGGTCATAGGTGGTGGAGCCTGTGTCAAGTGATCCGAGAATTGGAGTTTACCTTTCGAGTCGGCATCTGCAAAGGTGAGTTATCCTCACTATATCGATAGGGTCTACGGCACCAAGGCCGACCCTTTTAGTTGTTATTGTTATGGTATGCTACATATGGTTTGGTCTGCTAGATCGGAATCAGGGTAGACAGTATGTTATGCTTTATGATCCGTAAGGATTGGTATGTTAGTGACCTGCTAGGTCGGTATTCTAGTTACGAGAGGATTCTATGGTTGATGATCAGTATGACAGATATGTTTGATGTTTGTATATGCCAGTATATGATAGTTATGCGAACTTGGTTATTTGCTTATTGGTTGGGTTGAGGCGGTCCTGCTTTGTGCTGAAGGCCAACATACCCTATGAGCGGTCCGGGGAGACTGCAGGCCCACGAGGCGGACCAGTCATGCCGAAGGCTCGGGATAGACTCTGATAGACTGTAGGCCCGGTAGGGCAGTCCAGTCAGGCCGATGGCCCAGTATGCATGAATAGATTCAGTTAGACTGTAGGCCCGGTAGGGCGGACCAGTCAGGCCGATGGCCCAGTATGCATGATTGATTGATTGGTTGTTACTGATATGGTATTGTCAGTGTGGTATTGGTATTTTGGGGTAGCTCACTAAGCCCTCGGGCTTACAGTTTCAGTTTATTGTTTCAGGTACTTCAGGAGATCGTGGCAAGGCGAAGGCGTGACCGTACCGCTCCTCATCCTTATGATATGATTTTGGGACACTCTGATGGATAGTGATTTGAAAACATTTTGTAAACAATACTATTTGACTTTTATTTATGGTTGAAAAAGTTTGAATTTGGCGTAAAATTTATGGACGTTACACTTTTCTTTACTCATCTCCATTTAAAAAAAAAATTGATGTGTTGAACGATCCGAACCCCAAAGCTGCTGTTTAAATTATTTAGAACTGATTATCAGAAATATGACGATCTATGTTAACTCATGCACCTATTCTCGAAAGTGTCAATGTGTGTTTGAGCCAACGCCACTTCTTCGATTTCGACAAATTTTGCAGAAACAAATGGCCTAGGAATAACATCAATTTTCAAATTTTCGGAATGTAGAGAGAATATAGTAAAATAAAATGAAATTAGAAACAAAATGTAGAGAAAGTAGAGGAGAATGGAATGAAATTGAAAGAACGATGTTGTTTAAAATTGGTAGGTAAATGTATTTGTAATAGAAAAATTAAATTAAAAAAATAATAATAAAGGAAGTCGTTGAGAGGAATCACAGGTTCCTCAACCCGTGTTGCAAGCCAAATCTCCAACCCGCCAGACGACATAACAACTCCCCCAATGGTAGCGGCGCAGGTACCACCACCCATTTTTCTTTCTTCCCGAGCCACTCCGACCTCCCTAAGTGTGGACGAGTTCATTTTTTGGGATAGCACCGGAAGTACCGGGGTACCTCCAAGATGATGGCTCCTCACAAATTCGTACTGCTGATTTGCCATATTCAACGAGTTGTATAACCCGTTTTTCCACATACTTGTACATTTTGCTTGTTACTTGTATTGTATGTAGTTTTGTATGTTTTTAATTGAGTGGGTTGAGTGAGTAAAAGATAAGTGTTTATTTTTGTGGGTTGAGAAAGATGAAAAAATGAGAGAAAAAAGACTGGTATGATACTGACGTATCAAGTGAGTTGAATAAGTTGAGAGGAATGAAACATTTTAAACAATGTATAGTACTTTATTTATTTTAATAACCATGAAGGTTAACTGGTTAAGATATGTCAATATATATTGTTAACTATTGACAACTACATATTTTTCTTATATTAAAGTATTTTTTAGACTATCTCAACAAGTTGCGACGAGTTGACACTTGACGAATTATTAGCATAATGAACGGGTCTCAATTCATTGAACGAATTAATTCATAAACAATTTAATTATGGTCAGACGCTGCAGATAAAATTGTTAAAATTATTCAATGTAATATACTAACATTAAGCTTAGGTAAACATCATTGTATATCAATTTCAGTAAGTTATTAAACACTAGGTGTGAGACCCGTGTACTACACGAGTTTATTAAAAATTAAGATTTAATATCAATATTTAAACATTAAATATTTTATAAAATAACATTTTTACATAACATGATGTAATCTTTTGGAAAATTTATAAAAGAAATCAAATATTGTTTAGAGTATTTTTGAGACTTTATTATCAAATTAATACAATGATTCTCTTTCCTTATAATATTCGTTAGAATTTTATGGAATTTTATTTAAAAAATGGAAATTCCCAAAAAAATAAAAAGTGGAAAATAATAATTCTAAAACATTCAGAAAATTACATGTGGCAAAACTCTTGAGAATTTGACAAGTGGCAAAAAAAAACTTCATTTATTAGAGAGGATGTATCATGACATACGGAAACTTTTTGTTAACTAAAATCATTATCTTATATCAAGAACATTGATTAGTAAATGTCTCCAAACTTATAACTAGATTGAGGGGGTGTTGTTGAGCACATGGAGCTCCACTTCAGCCCATCAACAATGGATAAATTTTTGCTATGGTTAGAGAGTGAGGAAGAAAAGAGAAAGAAGAAAAAGAGTGTTTTCTAACATACACACCGAATACTCACTTTTGGAAAAATTATAAGCTCTATAAATCTCACTAAATTTTGTAGAGACAACGATAATCATATAAATAATTAAACAATAATTTATAAGACTTTGATATAATTTAAAATAAAGATACACGTGGCTAGCTGGAGATGCTTTCGTTGGAAATACATAACAGGAGATTGCCTACTCCGGAAGAAATACAACAAAATCACTTTCTAAAGTTGTAAAAGTTTCATCACCTTTGTAGAATCCCCGTTCTTAATTGTAATATATATCTATTTTTTATTTTTATATTAATTAACGAAATGGTTTTGTGTGAATATTAATATAAAAGTTATATTTTTGGAGATAATCATCAGTCATTAATATTTTTGTTTTATATAAAAATAAAAATACTGAGATATATAATTTGTACTTACAATATAGATTATAGAGACAAAGGACATGCTTGTAAGTTGCAACAAAGAGCTATTTTCGATGAGAGCAACATTCATTCATTAGTTAATTAGGTGATAAAGACGAGGTTAATTTATATTATTATAAGGTTATATATTATATCATTTACTTTATATATAATTTTTGGTTGTAAACGATATAAATAGGCTTTTTGATATATCTTTATTAGGTATGGTAAAATGTTGAGTTCGACTCGGTTATGTTCAGATTGTTTGATATCATACTTAGAAACCTTTGATTTGATTTTGGCTCATCTGATATGTATCTTATTCGATAAAATTTATGGTTGTGTCTGATAACCTTGACTCAATCAGTCTGACACAATAAAAAACGAATTAAGAAACCCTAATTTCAATTATTATAATTCTTTAATGGCTTTAATAGTTACATAAAGATAACAAATGATTGATATTCTATTATGTAAGATTCTAATTTTAGTTAATGAAGTAAAATTGCTAAATAATTATATAATATGAAAAGAATAAAAAGAAGCATAATTCTCAAGAAACACATGTAGTGTGTTATCTAAAGAGTAAGTATGTCATCATTTGTATTACCAATCAATTACCTCAAGAAACACATGTGGTTGGTTATCCAAAATTTAATTGCTATAGATTTTATAAAACAAAATGACATATATATCCATGTTTTTTAGCACAATAACGTGTTGAATCACTTTAACTTTTCTTTGTTACGTAAACACATTACTTAGACGAAACACTCTTTTAGATGATTATCAAAATTATATTAAGTAAATTCTTTGGGATATCTTTTCAAAAAAGTATTTAATGAAAAAAGTCTACAAAACTATTTAAACACCTTCTAATTAAGCATAATACATAAAACGATATTGTTTGATATTTTTGTTTCAAGATTATGATTCTTTACATATTGTAAGATTATGCTTACTTTTTCTTACATCATCATTTTTATTTTTAATTTGTATTTCTTTTGTTACCAGCATAAAGACATAACTTAACAACTAGTAAGTCATGAATAAGATATGGTAAGTAATCCATTAAGGTCATAGAAGGCCAAAGCTTATTGCTATAGTGTCACTTTGTCTATTTTTTATGATTCCTTAGACAATAATATAGACCTAATTTCATATACGTAAGAATAATTGTTTAATTTTAACAATATAAATTTAATTTAATACCCTACGTTATTTTATCAAATATTGAAGATCAAAAGAAAAGTGGATAAGTGCTACAACTTCGAGTATTCTTTAACGACATATGTTAAAAAGAAGAGTCAGAAATACTAGAGTTTTGTAAAAGGCAACAGGAAAAGAAAGACACGTTTGTTTTCATTTGACTTTTCATAAGTCATAACTCTCCATTCTCTTTCTTATTTATAAAATTTTAATTGCAACTAAATGATTAAATATTTAAATAAATACATAAAAAAAGGCTCTTTTATGCCCCTACTCCACTCCCACTCATCACCCAACTACTCAACGTGTAGCCACCCTTCTCCCCACAATTCACATTTGTTATTATATCATTTGTTATTTTATTATTTTATTAATTTATATTATAATAATTCCACCAATATTCTATCCAACTAAGATTAAGATTAACCTCTACAACACTCCCACCGCTACCCCTCACGCAACTTCCCATATATATAAACATCTTTTGGCCTCATTAATCATTATAGTCTTCACTCTTATATCACTCAACACCACCTCTTTCTTTCTTTAATGGCACTCGAAGCTCTTGGATCACCGTCGCCGCCTCTCCGCCACCGCGACATGGATGTTCAAGATTCTTGGAACAAAGGCAAGCGATCTAAACGCCCAAGAACCACCACCGATCACGATGTTGCTCTTCCACAACAACCACCCACAGAAGAAGAGTACTTAGCCCTCTGCTTGATGCTCCTAGCCAACGGCAGCCCCACCTCCACCTCCACCGCCACCGACACACCGCCGGAAAATGAGTCTGACTCCCGGGTGCAGGCTTACAAATGTAGCGTATGCAACAAGGGGTTCTCTTCTTACCAAGCACTCGGAGGACATAAAGCTAGTCACCGGAAGAACGTTCCCGACGACCATATTCCGTCCACCTCCGCCTCCGCCACCGCCACCGCCACCTTGTCGAGTTCTTCTGTTTTGAAACCTAGTGGAAAAGTACACGAGTGTTCCATCTGTCATAGAACGTTCCCCACCGGCCAGGCGCTTGGCGGCCACAAACGACGGCACTACGACGGAAACAACCCTGGCAGCACCGTCACAACGACATCAGACGGAGGTGCTTCCTCCACCCCTAGTCAACCGCGCGACTTTGACTTAAACTTGCCGGCGTTCCCCGACTTATTCCAAATGGGTTTGAGCGTTGACTGTGGGAAGAAAAGCCAAATGTTGATTAACGAACAAGAAGTTGAAAGTCCACTTCCGATGAAGAAACCGTGTTTCTCGATCAAAACGGAATAAATCAAGATCATGACGTAAACCCAATAAAACATATAATCATCAAATTCATTTGTTCTTTCGTTTTAGAATCTTGTATAGCTTGTTGTGTATTAATCATGTAGTGTTATACAATTGATTACATTCGTTAATTCTTGAAACTGATAATCATAAACAGCCGCCCATGTGGGTTCATGCAGCACATGTAAAAGCCCATATTCATGGCTTCCTTTTTGCTGTTAATCATCATTGTATACATAAAATTCCTGTTTTTTATTATTTTCTTAGTAATTTTTTATAAATATTTGAGAAACAATGTGTAAATAATAATAATAATAAAGGTGGGCGGAATTGGAAGGTGGTTTGTGTTGTGTTGGAATGGAATCGCAATCTGTCATTTGGACAGATAAGAAAGGAGTAATCTGTTAACTGTTGACGTGCTGGATACAGTTTCCACTAACTTACAAATCAAGAAAGAAAATATATTCTCAAAGATGCCTACTTGCTTCAAGATTACAGCTAAACATCAGCTTAACATTACGTCACATATGACTCTATTATATGTTGTAAAATTCCTAATTAATTCGTGATCATAAATAATAAAAGGAAAGAACAAAAATGGAGTTTAAATTAAAGAGTAGACGTCTAGAAGATGAATTTTGTGTAGTCACTACAACTAAATTAGAATATGTCGATCTTTCTTTTGAGTTCTCAAAGCTTCCATCCTCATGGACCAATGCACCGACATCATTTGTTCAAAGGTTCAACATTGTGCCCTTTACTATTTATTTTTTATTTTTTATTTTTTATTTGTAATCTTCTTTTTATAGGTTCATAGTGAAATTAATATTTTGGACAATATACGTAAAAAACAATATTAATTATACAAAGTTTTTTTTTAATTAGAACAATACACATATACAATCAATTCATTTGGTATTTAATTGGTATATAGAGTTAAACCTAAATGAGCCAAGCGTCTAGAAATTGGAAATAATGCTAATATAATTTTAGGTTTAAGTTCGACATTTTGACTAAACCATATTTAAAGTACGTTCAAGTTTTTCTTTTTAGAAATTTAATGTTAACCATACCATAAATACTCTTATTAATAAGGGTACACGAAGAGAAGGGGGTGGGGATCTTGCCACGATTGTTATGTCACGACCATGATAACAATAGCAGGTGATGAGTTTTTTTTAGAGGTTTGAATGATTAATTAAATATATTTAGCTATGAAGATAGATTCTATATGTTGTTTCTTTCACGGAAAATGTCGAGTTAACGAATCAAATTAGAATGAGGTTGTATATTTTCCATCTGTGTTATATCTCTTTTTGTCACTGATAATTATAAAAATGTGAAATTATTTAACGATAGTATTTGGAATAAGGTTTTCGGATTGACACATATAGAGGAGACATCGAAATATATGGGTGAGCATAAAACCGAAAAACCGAACCAAAATCAAATTAACCAATATAACCGAACCATTTTTGAAACTGATGGTTCGGTTTGTTTGTTTGTTTTTTTTTTTTTGCTAACTGATAAGTAGCGGTTAGGCTTGGTTTTATAGGATAACCGAACCATTATTAACCAAACGGTCATCCAATCACTCACACCAACACATCCCTAATCAGTCTTATCTGTTGAAGCGATGAAAATCATTTGCTATAATGCTATAATGCGACATAAATGGTTAAAACATATATATGGTTGATGTGTTTTTGTCTCACGTTTTTATTATAAATATGCATACAAATGGTTCAATCGTAATGTTTATATAAATTACTAAAAAATGGTTATATCTTAGATTGGTTTTTTTCTTTGCCATTTGTTTTTCTTCGTGTTTTCAGTTCATTATACCATTACACAAGCAATATAACTGAGATTTATCAATAGAATTGAAAGGATGACGAGGGTAACCATTTGTTATTTTCATTTTTATAGCAATGTACTTATTATTATTATTTTATTTCAATGCAATTTCAAATTTTAAATCATTTTTATCATTATGGATAACCGATAGTAACCATTAACCGACAAAAACAATTAACTATAACCAATACTAACCAATACCCAATGGTTACCAAAATACACCTTATTAATGATTGTCCCACGTAGGATGTCATATGAACAAAACCTAAATAAAACCGATCATAAGGACTGAATGTGTGCAAAAATAACAAGGACTTATTTTGCAAAAAAAAAACATTAAAGATTAAATGTGTACAAACTGAAAACTTAATCTAAAGTAGCCGTTCATAACCTAGAGTAGTCGGTCATAAGAAATGAATGTGTACAAAACAACAATGTAAAAGAGTTTATTTTACAAAGAAAAAAACAATAAATTGTAAACATGTATATGACGAAAACTATGTTACTCTCTATTAAGTCATTTTCCCAAAAGAAAAACAATTTTTTCTTGTTCTCAAATTGGGGCCTATTAGGGAGGTGGGAGCGGTTCCTCCCAACCCAAAACAAGAAAACATAGTATTAGGGACGCCTCTTTTAGCGATGACTAGCCCTTTAGCAACGACATCAGATGAGACATGCCTAGGGTCGCTGCTAAAAGTGCATTTCATCGGTTTTCTTTCTCATTTTTTTTTTCATCTTTCTCAACTTACAATATACGAAAATAACATCGTACCCAGACACTCAACCCCTTTGCCGCATCAGTATTTTTAATTTTATTTATGTATAAAATTCTAGATATAATAAAACATAATGTTTTTATAATTTTTTTAATCTTTAAAATAAACTTATACTAATTTTAAACCAAAAAAAGTATTCAATAATATTAAAAATAACATTTAATTAAAACACCACACTAGAATAACATAAACCACGCTACAATAACATAGATTAAATCCTAAAACGACAAACAAAATAACAAAAAAAAACCATACTACAAACGACAAACGAAAACTAAAATACATACTTAAATTCTAAAAAAAAGAAGGATGATTTTTTAAAATATTCAAGCCGCCTCTTAACGAAAATCTTTCATGTTATGGTGTTCACGATAATCATTTTGTGTTGCATTTAAAACTTCTTGATCGGAAACTCCGGGCTCGTGGGTATTTGATATTGCTATATTTATGCATATATTTAGTACAATATTTAAGAACACTTAGCTTCATTTTGGTTAAGTATTAAGATATTTGGTGCTTATAAATTTTAAAATCTATTTTGTAGCCAAAGAACGACATTCTCAAAGGAAAATGACTAAAATGGACAAAGCTGGAAACTTGGAAGTTGGAAGAGTTCATCAATAGGAGAAGAAGAGAAAAATACTTCAAAAAGAAGATCCCACGACGTGGAAGCATATAACCTTCCCGATGATATGCGATGAGACTTGAAGCATATGCGTTTAAAGTGTCTCCCACCGTGTGGATGTCTGTTCTCCACAACGTGACGACCAATTTAAGGAAACTATATATATATATATATATATATATATATATATATATATATATATATATATATATATATATATATATATCGATTTTTATGTTACAATTGGGGGGAGGGGGGGGGGGGGTGGTGCTTCAGAAGGCCACTGATACATGCGGCTAAATACTTCCTAGAAACCTTAAGTAGATCATATTTCGATTGGAGAACAAGTATTTGAGAGATCTACGCGAAGAGAATCATTAATCTTTCGGTTTGCTTACTTTTCACCGTGTTTAACTTAGTTTACTCTTTGATTATGTGTGTTTCTGCCATGATTATGGGCTAATACCTTCTGCTTTCTTTTAGTGACGATGAACCCTAATACTTTGAGTTGATTTCATTATTTATGGATTTAATTGTGTTTGTTTAACTTGTGTTTGGTAGATTGATAATCCTAGCTTGTTAAAGTTATAATTTTTACTGCTTTAGTTAGGTGACAATTCTTATTGCATAAACTTGATATCTAGTTGTTTATAAACATTGAATTGCTAGATCTAATGATTGAATAAATCCTAGAGTTAGGTAGTAACGTTAGTATCTTTGATTGTGTTAGAGAGCATTATCCATTCATAATATGTGCTAGATTGGCTTGTATTGATCTTAGATAGGTAATCATTAGATTTATCATTCATAGTTCAAATAATCTTTAAAATCAATTTAGTGTCCACTTGTGCTAGATCATTTCATAATAAATCATAAATTGGTAATTACTAGGAATTGGAACATGATAACTAGTAAGCTAATAATTTGGTAACCAATATATTTAATCAATTAGAAATCAACCATAGGAAAAGGGGAGATTCAAAGCTAAAATGAAGTATCTTTTATCCTTGATTAAAAAGCGTTTTCTAGTTACTTGTTTTAGTTTAAAGTATTTATAGTTGATTGCTTAATTGAAATTTTTCTAAACTTGCAAAATCCGATAAAAACTTCCACTTAAAGTTATTTCTTCTAGTTTAATTAATAACAATTATTTTCTATTGTAAAATTCTGATCCCTGTGTTCGACTCCTTACTTACTTTACTGTACTACTACACGACTAGGTACACTGCCTAATTGTGTTTTAGCTGGTAGAATTAGATATGATTATAAATTTAAAGCTTTTAGTGAATTTAAAACACATCACAGCTTTTGGTGCCGTTGCTGAGAAACAACTTATTTTTGCTGAAAATTAGTCGCCATTAGTTGAACGATCCCTTTTGTGGGGTAAAATCTCCAAAAGTAAAATTTCTTTTTTTCTGTTATCACAGGATCCACGACGTGGTGATCTCCTTGCCACGACATGGGATCTGATGTATTTTTTAGTTTTTTGTTTACCACGTATTTTCCGATTCTCGATGCTTTTGATGCCCCTTTTGAGGAAGTGGTACAGGAACTAGAGCGAGAAAACGAGGGATATGATACAAAAGACAATTTGGAGGAGCTAGAAGGATGGCTAGCAGAAAACTTGTATGAAGAACAAGAACAAACTGAATTGCAGGAACCATGCCATGATTTGATCACTATCATGACGCAATAATACACAATTTATATACCAGTTTTTTATTTATAAACCAAACTTTCTAAAC